TACTCGCCCAGGTTATTCATGTATTTAAATAAGCAGATCTTGAAATTGATTACAAGCCTCATCAGGCACCACATCGGTTGATGGGCTAAACTATTACCTTCTATGAGTTTATAGTAACCGTAGGTTTCGCTCAGTCTCCCTATTATCGTTATCATCGGTATCATTGATACAGGTAATGTTGTTATGTTTTTCTTCTCCTTACTGTCTTGCAAGCTGGCTAGATTTACTGTGTAATGTGTTTTGTGAAGTCATGTGAGTGCTTCAGGGGACTATAGTCAGGATACAAACATTACCCTTCATATAGTCCTGCCATCATTTCACCAGCAATAATGTTACATTAGATTTGTCTTGCAGTACACTAATTGTTATTTTAGCAAGATATTTTGGTTCACAGAAGACAAACATGGGGTTGGAATTACTTGTAAGATATATCCCTATATAATAGTGTACACACCTGAGATGTTATGTACAGACCTCTGGGGGCTAGCCTGTTCATTGGCTAGAAGGAAAAATATTAAAATTGTTTCACTGCTGTATGGGCAGCCACTTATTAATAAAATAAGCAGGTACCAAGTAGGTTACCATATTTACTAACGCATGTATGATTCTACTATAGGCATGTCAGTATCTCTATGCATGATTTGTCTGATTGGATGGTAGTCTACTTTACTTATTGCTATTTAGACTACTTATGTTTTTATGAGGTGGTCAATCCATATCTGCTACATGGTTGTCAGCTTGAGATAGACTTTGTTCACGATATAATTTTGGGTTACACTGTTTACTTTATGATTTTAGTTGACATTGTTCAAAATCCAGTTAGCTCTGGGCTTGGTTGCTTTAGGTATGTATGTTCATGCTATGCATGGTTTACTATATTTAACTCACCTACCCCACTTTGGCCTTTTGTGTACATCAGTCACTCTCTGCAAGTTTCAATAGTTAACATCATTAACCATCGTTAAGGTTACACTATTTGCGAAGTAATTTGAAGCTATCCTCTATTGACGCTGTTCACTGTTCGTCCTGTTATCCACGTTGGTTGTAGTATGTTTGCTTCTATCAATATTCACAGTGTTATTTATGTATATACTATATATTAATGGTTTATAAGTGTGCACAATGATACTTTGTGCAAAGTCAACTTCATATAACGATCTGTATAGGAATACTTGAGTATTTTGGACTCACATCATCCACTCACATCTCGTTTATCTAATTAATGTGCACAGTTTTGGTCATTTAAGATATGGCTATTGATGTAAAGCATATTTCAGTTCTTATCTTCTTATCCAAGTTTATCTTGGCCCAAACAGAGCAGGAGTGTTAGCTATTCAGCAATGGTTTGTGAGTTTCTCTGGGTGCACTTATATTGTATGTTGTCTTCTAATTCTAATCAATTACCCTATGCCAGGTCTAGGATTTGGACACCTCTGATACTCTTATTTGATTTTACTGGGTAATTTTCAGTCATACGTTCTAACTTTTTTTCTAATTTAACTAGGTATGTTTTTGTTACAAGTTCGCTTATGTATCTCCTCCAATAATTACACAACATGTATATCCCTCCACCCCATATAATCTTTGGTATAGCATACATGTTTATTTTCTGTTCATGTACCCTTGCATCTTGGTTAACTAATATATATTTGATATATTTACAAGTACTGGTCGTCTCAATTTTGGTCTATGTCACATACGTCTACTCATGTTAAGTATTAGTGCTGTTTTCAATTTTACGTTTTCAAGAACCTTAGCCGCTATGTGCACTGGTTAACATAGAAACATAGAATGTGACGGCAGATAAGAACCATTCGGCCCATCTAGTCTGCCCAATTTAAATGTCACTTCCTATTTCTTTGTTTCCTTCTGGTAATGTGTATCACAATATAAACATCACATTGGTCCAAACTCATACTTACACACACCTACCATATCTGCAATTCTTGTAAATTGATAGTAAGTTTTACCCACGGTGCACACACTACCTCACAAATGTTTGGTGTTTACAAGTCAGTACTACATTGCAAAGTTCCTTCATGTCACAATCTGGTTTTAGGTATTAGGATTATGGACCCCGGTACACATATAGACATGCCAAATTTCTCTTCACTCATACTTACTGTTAATTTCTAGGTCTTTTAGCTTTCACATTAAGCTAATTGTTGCTTCAATTGCTATGTTTATACACCTATCTAGTAAAATTAAATAATTTATTTGGTTATGCATTCAAGTCACCATGCAAGTGACTCGATCATTCAATTCTACCTCACTCCCCTAGCACAGCCTACTTGCTCTAACAGGATTTCACGCTTAACTTGGTCTGGCTGTTGGGATTCCTTAGATGGCCCTGGGTGCCACTAATTGTGCCACTAATTAGCAGTCCTGCGAGGCCAACCTTAACCACTGAGGTATTTCGTCCTTTTGGCAAAGCAGTTAGAGCCTCGTCTGTCACGGACAATCTATCTTGAACCTCTTTAATATCACTGAGAAGCCAACATGCTTGGTGGCATACTTATCCCTTGGGCCTCTCATCGGCGATCGGCAACTATAAGGCTTCCTCGGTCACCACCAATTCTAGCTTAATTGTTTCTTCGGTTGGCATAACATAAGTCTATCAGTACCTGGGTGTTTTTTTACAGTTCCATAGTAAGGGGTCTATAGACACTATTTAGCATAATGATTTTTCTTCTGTTTCAGTTAAGGTGTAATCACCTGCAACAATTCTAGGAGGGTAGGACTAAGAGGAGAAATAAAAAACTAAGAGAGAACAAGCATCATATAATTATGTTCTCCAGATTAGGCTTTAGATGATGCTTCAAGACACAGACCTTCGGGAACAGCCAGTATTTTCCTTACGATAGTTAATCCCATGCAGATGCTCTATCCATATGCTACTTTACACCCAGCTTCTAGTTTTACTAACCCTTTGAAAGTTAAAAATGTTATTGCCCATTTATACCAATAAATTATATAATAATTCCCTTCTGTTTATTCTTTCTAGCAACCCAGAAAACTTTCTGCTGTAAGTAACTAATAATGTACCAGTTAGGGAATAAAACAGGCCACTAAAAGTTGACTATGGCAATGTTCCAAGAACAGGTTGTATTAATATTTTTGCCCTCTTTATTCTGACCTACCCATCTGTAGTTTTCAGCACAGCACAACCGACTGTCAGGGTACATTGTATGCAATATGTCAGGGTATGGGGCACACCCTTCTAAAGATCTAATATCTACCTGTGACCTCTCTCAGGGCCCTTCCATACTCCTATAGGGTCTGAATGACGGTTGCTATGGCTCCGCCCACTTTTATGATGTGACACATGGGCACCAATGTCATGACACCAATGACATCACGCAATGTAACTGCCAGTTTTGGGGTCATGCCTACTTTGTTAATGAGACACACTATTGTTACTCTCTACTTCTGGTGTCCCTGTATCTGGCTTGTCCCTGACTATTCTCTGTTTACCTACTTGAAGCCTAGCAACCCTAAGGACCAGTATACGTTATCTCAGGATACACTCTGCATTTTGGGTGTCACCATCCTGACATTCACTTCACTAATTGGCTCTAATCTTCTACTAACATTTGGCTTGTGTCCCTTACCACAACTATTTTATATTAAAAACAGAAAGTAAACAGACTATTTTTTATGTTTATAATATACGTTTTACCTGTAATTTTTTTAGCTGCTTTACTGCTTCTTCCCGGCCCTTGTTAGCACCATCTATCTGGCTCTCCATTTCTTGCAGATCCATTTCAAGCTTCTTCTTAGCAGCAACAAATTGAGTCTTTTGTTTTCGTTCTTCATCTAATTCGACTTCTAGATCTCGTACCTATGACATAATTCAGTTGAAATAAAAATAAGCTTAGTCTTGGTAAGCCAAACTCATTTGCTATGTTATCCAAGTAACTGGGATAGTGAATGTGAGGTTATTCAGCTCATTAAAGAGAACCTGCAGCCCGAAAAATAACAATAGTTTTTTTCAGGGCTATACGTTCCCTTCAATTGTTCTAACTTCTGTCCACCCCACCTTTGCTGATGTAAAATCAAATATTAATTTATTTTAATTACTTCATCTCCAGTACTGAGTCTCCTCTGCTGCAGCCTTCTGCTCCTCCTCTGTCTTTGTCAGCATGCCTGCTGATGTCTTCTGCGATCCTGTCCAATCCAATGCTACTTATAGAGCAGCATTCAGGAAAACAGCAACTAGAAGTGTATTTAATCCTGCAATGTAAACTTTGCTGTTTCTGGAATCAGCAATGTTTTACAGTAAAAAGTTAAAATTACGTTAATACTTCACCCAGACCACTACATTGAGATGAAGTGGAGGGGGTGAGTTTGGTGGTCCTTTATTTTACAAATGGAGGTCCCAATGTGTCATCATAGGCGTGCGCACAGGGTGTGCCGGGTGTGCCTGTGCACACCCTAATCCCCCCGACACGCCTATGGATTGAGACCGGCAGGGGAGATCTCAGGATCCGAGCGCTGGCTCTGCTCTAAGCCTCCATGGGCCGGTGAGGGAGATCAAAGATCTCCCTCACCGGCCCACAGCAGCAGGGAGGGAGGCAGGAGAGGACCCAGAGAGCTCTGGCCAGCAACGCTCAGATCTCGCGAGAGTGAACTCTAGCCCGCAGGCTAGAGTTCACTCTCCACTGGACCACCAGGGATGGCAGCAGCACGGTCCCCCCTCCCTACAAAAGGTAATAAGGGAAGGGGGATATTAACTAAATGGCCCCCCACCGCACACAATACACACAAACAGCACACACATCAATCACCCTTACACACACAGAACCCACACACTAACAGCACCCTAACACATACACACACACAGCACACACTAACAGCACCCTCACACACACACACTAACAGCACCCTTACACACACAACACCCTTACATATACACACACGCACTAACATCACACACACAGTGCCCTCACACACACAGCGCCCTTACACACACAGCGCCCTTACACACACAGCGCCTACACACAGCACCCTCACACACACACACAGCAGTATATGTGTGTGTGTATATATATATATATATATATATATATATATATATATATATACATATACATACACACACGCGGCGTGTGTGTTTGTGCTTTAGGGTGCACACCCTTATACAATAGGCTGCGCACACCTATGTGTGTTATGCCCATTTCATATCTGTCCATGTCTTTTTTTTTTCAAGTAACCTCTGTTTATTTGGTCTGTCTCTGTCTTTTTCTTCATTTTGCATCTGTGTCACTTTGGGACTGTTGTGCAACCTCTGAGACAATAAACCGAAATGGAACAAACATTATTTGTGTCTAAATAATGAGGCAAAGCAGGACAAAGTTTCAGACACAAATAGATCATTTAGGAAATCGTAGAGGTAGACCCAGAAAATGATAAAGGAAAACATGAGAAAAACATTTTTCATTATCATCTCTAAATTTCATTTAATAAACTGGTAATGGACAGGAATTGATAAAGAACAAATAGCTAAGGTACAGTTTTGCCCTAAAATGTAATATTCTCTTGTCGGTATCCTTGTCTACTTCTCTCTCTCTCTCTCTCTCTCTCTTGATGTGTCTTTTTCCATTTTATATTTCATCTCTATGTTTCTCACTATTTGATGAAGCAAAATAATAATACCTACAGAGTAAGGGAGTTGTAGAAATATTAGGCACTTTGAAAAGGAGGGGAAGATCATTTAAAACCACTTCTACAAATAACCAATTTAATGATAAAAAAAGCAGCAGGCCCCCTGAACCAGATTGATGAAGGCAGTTTGGTATATCTACCACTTCTCCAATGTTGTTGACCGTTTACAAAGTCATCATGGTTGTTATGTATGCATTATATGTAGGCAGTATACCTCCTAAATTGTGCTCGACTGAATCTTCAGAGTACAGCAACATCCAAAATGTATACCTTATTAAAGTTGGTTTCATTTTTTCCAGAATCAGATTATACATGCTTGGTCTAAAAGAGATTTAGGACACTTACCGGTACCCATGTCTTTACAATTTACAAAAATACCATTCGATGATATATATTGCATTGTATAGCTTTTGCTCTGTTTTGTGGTTCCTTTTGTATTACCATTTACTTTAATGACACACCAGCCGGTAGTCCTGGTTCATTATAATAGGATTAGGGACTTACATTTAGAGAGTTGTTTAAAAGGGGCTTAAAAGGTAAAATCCTAAAATATTCTGTTGACTATAAATCCAATTCCTCTAAGCAAATATTTGGCTGAGAACTGGAGGAGTTACAGGAGTAGCATCTTAAAGATGGGTATTCCTTATTAACTTTCCTCTAATTATAAACCACCTGTAATGCTATGTACCACACATACCTGTAATGTTCTAATTCAAACCACACACTTAGCCCTATCCTTCAATAAACATTGAGCTTTCTGCCATTGACTGAGGTGTTCCCTTAGCTGATCTCACTGCTGACTTCAGCAGAAGGGTTTCCCTATTGTAAACTGTTTGTTGTAGGAGCTTTGCATTGTGTACTATTGACTAGTCTGGCCTGCTTCCTGTAACTTACTACTGTAAATGAAGAAAGTCTGCACTGGGTACTAACATTTTTCCTGGGGATTATTATGAATACATATCATTCCCAAGAAAATTAACAGAACTGTTGTGCTTCTACAAATGGTGGAACCTGTTAAAGCAATTTAGGTGGCAGGAACTGAATCTTTACAGATTTTTTGGTGGCTGTATTTCTGAGTTTTGGAAAAAGGTGCACAAAAATAAAAATAAAAAACACAAGGAGAGAAATTAATTAAATGTGAATGGTTAGAAATCCATATCTCTTTAACACCCATTACAGTAACAATTCCAAAAGCTCTACTATTCTCACCCTGGCTCTTTTTAATTACTCTTGTTTTGCGCTTTCTGATCTTTGAGAATTGCTAGAAGGAGCATTAGGGCTCTATATCAGCATGCAGAGAGGGTTATATTATTTTAAATGGACAATATAGTCACCAGAGCAGCATCATGTAGTTGTTCTGGTGAGTATAGTCAGTCCCCGCAGGACTTTTTGCTGTTAACACTGCCTCTATGAGGAGAAATGTGGATTTGCGCAGCGTGGGGGAGGAGACAGTGCCAGCAGACCTGCATGACACTGTAATGAAGATATGTTTTCTACTTTTTTAAGGTGGTAAGGTAAGTTTTCTACCTTACCAAGGGGAGCAAGGAGGTACACGTTTGTGTTTCTGGCCTTATATGCTCCTTTACTGACATTAAGCAAAATGTATGTATTTTGGTAAAGGATAATTATATTGAGAAGAGGATTTGCAAGTATATTTCTTTCCGTATTAAAAATGTTAACATACTACAGCTTAGTGTAGTCCACAGAAGTGTGGTTTGTATGTCACCAAATGCAAAATAAATAAAACTGCTGTCAGGTTAGCTATTTCAATGTTTACATTTTTCTTTACCTGTATTTTAAATTTTTTGTTCTCCTGGGTAAGGGACTAAAGTAATAATAAAACTGTAGAAGAAATAATTGACAGCAAGTGGATTTTCTTTTACCTATGTACATATTGAATAAAACATATATCAATGTGAATTGTGTGCATCATCTTTTTCTTAGATTTAAACTTTATGGACTTTGTAAGCTTATATTCACTTTATAATAGTGCATGGTGTTTTTTATATTCCAATAATATGGGTTTGAGCACACGGGAACTCACACATGTCACGTATGACTGTAATTGCAGCACTAGGATGTTCTGGGAGCATGGCTATAACAATTATGCCCCCAGCACAGTTTCACTTTTAAAGGACGACTTTGATGCATGATTGAGCCCAGCATTTCTGTCCTGAATCTGGACCCTTCATCTCTGAAGTATTTGTATTTTTTTTTTTGTAGACAGCAATGGCCAGGATTACTTTTGAATCCACAAGTATTATGGTTAGGTGCTTTGCCAAGACCTCCATGCTTGCATAATCAAGGATCTGTTCTAACAGGCATTCTTTCTACTGGTTATTGTGGCTAGAAATCTAAACTTTGTTATCAAGGAAAAAGATAATTGTATTTTGCTTCAATATTTGGTTGTGAAAATGTTTTTGGCAGATTTCTCTTATTTCTAGTTAGCATTATCAAGGTTCAAGAAGTTGACTTTGACACAATTAAGCATCTCTAATAATCATGTTTTAAAATGTCAGTCCTCCAAATCCATTCTTTCATTATTTAAATCTGTCACATCTCTGTCATTAACTAATTCCACATAAAATATATAAAAATGTATAAAATATATAAAGTATTTCTAACCTGTTTGAATAGCAATTTCTTCTTCTCATCATTTGAATCATCCCTATTTTGGAGGTCCCTTTCAAACTGTGCTTTCATGGCTTGCATATTGACTTCCAGGCGCAGTTTTCCATCTTCATTTGCCTGAAGCTCATCTTCCAATTCTTCTATCTGGGTTTTCATTTCCTGTACTTGTTGTTCCAAAGCTCTCTTAGACCTTTCCAATTCATGAACCTATGGCGACATGTGTCACAAGTTAGATTAAAGTTATTTTATTCAATTTTATAGCTTCATATAAAATAACAAAGCTTGGTGTGAAATTATTTAATAAAGAACATTACATTTTTGCCAACATCATCCTTGGAGCTTATAAGGTCATCCATCTCTGCTCGTAGCTGTTTATTGTGTCTATCAAGTTCATCCTTTAGGTCAAGAGCTTCTTCAAGTGCTCGACCCAGGGACAGAGCTTTAGTTTCTTTTTCACGAGCCTCAGCCTCTGCTCTGTCGCGCTCTTCTGCATACCGTGCTGAAATATTCTTTTCTTCTGCCAGCATCTTAAAAAAGTAAATATAGTCAAAAATAAGTTACACTGGTCTGGTATTTTTTTTCTTAAATAAAATCATATCTTTGTTCCATAAAAGGATTAAATGGTATTTGTCTATATCTCTACATTTGTAAAACAGACATACAATTAACCCATTAAGGACCAAGTTTCAGTTTCATTGCTTTGTAATTAAGGGCACAAGTAATTTTGGTATTTTTGCTACATGTGGATTAAACCACAATTTCTATCTTTTTAGTTTATTCCACCAACACATATATTAAGTTTTTTTAAAGGACAATAAGGACTTTCAATTATTATGACAGACATGAATACATTCTCATTTATTATAAAAAAATGGAAAAATCACACAACTTTTCACAGTTTTGCAATATCAATTAGTGCAGCTTAAAGGAACACTATAGACCACTAAATCACTTTAGCTTGCTGAAAAGTGTCCACAGTGTGCCCTATTTTTTCATTTTGTAAAAGGTGCAGATTTCCTTAGAAATTGGCACTCATAACTTAGCCAAAGTGCAATATATACAGTAGGGATGCAGCTGTAAGTATACAGAAAAGAAAAATGATATGGTGCAATATAATTAAAACCTGCAATTTGTGCCACTGATATGGAAATCAAGTGCCTCAATGAGCCACACCCAATATCACTGGGGGAGGGGGGGGGGGAGCAAAAGGAACCATGCCCCTTTTCGGTCTCTAACTTCCCCAACTAGGACCAAATGTGTCAGGACTCCAGGTAGGTATTGAAATTGATTAATTAAACATATAATTGTAATAAAATATACAATATAATAATATGGTCCAATACATTTCTTCCAATATCTGTTATGCTCACCAAGCAATATTTTTGTACCCCTGCTAGGGTTCAGCCTCTTATCCCATCTCTATGAGTCGCCAGCCTGGGTACCCTCTTTATTGACTAGGAGTCGGACCCAATCTCTCCCTCAGGGGGTGAAAGCGGTCCACTGCATACATGCCAGGGTTAAGCCCCTCATTCCTGAAGACCCAGCAACAGCACATCTCTATGAGTCGCCAGCCTGGGTACCTCCTTCAATGACCTGGGCATTTGACCCAGCTATCCCCCTCAGGGGATGAAGACGATCCACTGTACACATGAGGCTTAGTTGGAGCTAAGCCTCTTTTCCCTGAAGACCCAGCAAAATGCACTTCCATAAGGTGACTGCCTGGGTATGTCTCTTCTATATTTTCCGCCTTGTCTGGGGTTTGTTTTAAACCTTCCCCCACTGGTGATGACAAATGGCATAAGGGGTACAGATGGAAGCCTATAGTTTAAACAGTTTAG